CATGGTCCCTAGGCATGGTGTCCGCATCGAGTGCTAGAGGTTCCGGGTTTAATTCCTGTTAAGGGCTGGGATTTTTTCACGTGGACTTGGACTTCTAGTAATTCCCCCTGGTCTCTGGGTAGTGAGATCGGACGGCCGTGTGCATTGTTGCGCACGTAAAAAATCCCATGGTAGGTGGAAATCGAAAAGAGTATCCTATCGGCGCTGCCCAGGAAAAAATTTGGAGTTAAAAATCTACCCAAAGTTTTCAGGGTCCTCGCCGGTGCTACACAGCCTGTGCTCTGTGCTGATTCTCTTCGAACTCAGACTTGAGTTAGATGAAGAACGGATCACTTATTGGTTGCTACCTGTTTCCCATGATGTTGGTCTGTTGTTCAAACCTCAAACATCTTGAAAGATAAAAGTCTACTTGTATATTAGTTAAGACCTGGACGGTGCACAATGCAGGGGTCATAGTTCTCTATGCATAACGGTTCGTTGACACCTGTTTTAGGTCTAGGATGTTCATATCTGCTCACCGAATCGTCTAATTCTTTTTTTTTTTTTTAAATCTAAGGCTACCTTTCCTTTCCAACTCTCCCATCCATATCACTTGTACTTGACAATAAATTTATTGATGCACACTACTTGACAATAAATTCATTGATGCAAACTACTTGACAATAAATTAATTGTTGCAAACTACTTCACAATTTGTTTTCCTTATTCAGTGAGTAAATAGCGACATCTTTACTGGATATGCCATGAATTGTGGTTTGTGGCTGTAGCATAAACAACCTACGTTATGCCGATGACACTGTCTTGACAGTGACATGTCAGAAAGAACTACAGGTGATTGAAAGGTATAAAAGGAGCCTCAGTTTGGATCTGGCCGGCGTTCAACACTCAGGGGAAAGGCGAGACAGATATACAATCAGACAGTTACTGGTTCCATTGAAACTGGAAGTCTACGCTTGCTGCTGAAGATTGGGGCGGGGCGCTTATGGTGGTGTCCTGCAGGCTGTGGTGTCAATTCATAATTCAACAGTAAGCGATTTATGAAGGCTAAATTGCTATGTTGAAGTTGCGGACAACGCTTGAGCCGAAGTCTTTCGATTGTAAGTTGATTATCTTAAATCAACACCAGTAGCTGATTCGTTCCGGTGAAGAGAGTTGACTTGTTTTGTTCCAGTCTGGGGGCAATTAGTGGTGAGGACGTCTGGCCGAGAGGTACAGGTGGCCTATTGGAACGGTTATATAATTTCTCTGCGGCAGATGAACCTACAGTCGTCAACATAGCTGACAAGTGAGTCCCCCCTGCTGACTTCTGGTATGCGAGAGGTAATGGCTATATCAAAGAAAGGAATATTGACTAAATGTGCAATACTGGTCAAAGACGTTATTTCAAGACAAGTACAGGAATGACTGGCCGAGCAGATACAACGAGGGGTTCTTATACGGAAGACCAGAGTTTGGCGCCCGATAGGGTGATGGGGGTTTCCTGTCGGAGCAAAAATAAACATCATAATCTACACAGTCAGTGGCGACAGCACTAGACATGAAGGCCTGAAACCTCAGACTAACGACCCATTGTCTACGATGTTCTAAAAAAATAAACGTAAATACTGACAGAAGTAAAACTGACTGTGACAGAAATTCAAGCATCTAGAGGTACATTGATAACATCCGACGGAAGATGTATCACCGAGATAAAGAACAGAATAGAGTAGGCCCAAACTGCATTTTATAAAATGAAGAAAATTTCATGCAAAAATCTATGTCATTTGTGGTTGGGATGCAAGCATAAGAGGGTACCTTATTTGTCTGCTCCTTCTTCTTCGCTTTCACCGGCTGTAAACTCCTGCTGAAGTTCTGACTGTTCATCCACCTTTGGACTTTAGTATTATTTCAGAACTTAAATGTTGCGTGTACATCCGTTTTACAGAGCCGTTTTATTTGAACGCAGACTGATGTTTCCGTGCTTCTCATGCAGATGCACTCCGACTTCGAAGCTCCCAATTATTCGACTCTTACGACATGTTTGTTAGAGAGGCAGTGTGTCTAATCTTGTCCCCCCCCCCACCCCACCCCACCCCAAAAAAGAGGCCCTAGAACCCACACGAGAATAAGAGGATATGACAACATAATATGTATCATCTTCAAAGGGGGGTGATTTTGCAAATCGTTCTTTCGCAATCAGATCGGGAATACCCAAACAGTTCTTGACAACCGTTTTTCGAGTTTACATGTAAGATAGATCGCTGTGTTCTGATCCTAACATTTCATACGTAAGTAACAATTATTTAGATTATTTTAAACTTCACATGTATACACATATATACAATTATCACGATTTATGTTAAAATCTACATCTAAATTATGTAACTTTATTACATTTATGTTTTTTTACTACTGAATGTCGTCTTCAGTTTCAGTTTTAAATTACGCTGGTACAGTCTTGTCAACAAACTGACAACATAAAACTTTTGCTTTCACTTTCAGCTGTGTCTATGTGCTTTGACGCTATCTGTATCTGTTCGCACACTCCCCGGCCTTTCTCTATGCTTAAATGTATATAATAAACAATAGCTACGCGCACACACCATTTGGAAGTGACAATTTTGAATCCCGGCACGGTAACTAGCTTTGAATTGCTATTTTGTCTATTGCGTCCTGCTATCTTCCTACTTCTTTCTTTGAGTGCCGATTAATACATTGTATGTTTGTTTATTATAGTGCTGATTAATACATCGTATGTTTGTTTATTACACACACACACACACACACACACACACACACACACACACACATATATATATATATATATATATATATATATATATATATATATATAACATTTATACGTCTGAAGGGTTACCCTTTGATTATTTATATGCGTCATTGTGGGCCTTTTATCTTATCTAAGCAGCTGCGTAAAATGTTGGAATTGGCTTTTTCGTGATTTAAGAGGCGGTTAAATTGGGTTAGTTTCGTATCTCTTGTTGAGCTATTTGTTCTATAGACTGTGA